CTAAGTTCAAGGCACATGGATTCCACAAAATACTTGAGATAAAGAAGTTTCACCATTTCTTCTTCACAAACCAGTCACCAGGGATTGTCAGCTGCAAAACAAGTTTGAACAGCGATAGTGTCTGTTTCACAGTTGGTGAAGTTTCTACACTGGACGAATCGCTCCCAAACATCATCCATCCAGTACGATTGAGTTATGCCAGGATGCTGTACCTGTACAATTCTATCAGACAGTATGTTCCTGATGACTCAAAAGGCACACTTTGTCCTCTTCCGGGTGCAGTCACTGCACATGTACCACAGATGGACGAACCAGAAACATTAGGAAAGCCAACTGAGGAACCTGGGACATCAATGGTTGAGGATGCGCAGAATGATGATGGACCAACCAACAAAGATAATAGACAAACAGACACAGTGCAAATTGAACCATTTGTGTTTCAAACACCAGAAAAAAAGAGGCATAAAACCCCAACTTGTTCTTACTGTCTCCAGGCAGGTCACAGAAATCAAACAATCAGGGGTAGGTTGGTCTGTCCTAAAAGACGGGAAGACATTATGAAACCAGCCACTGCAGACCATGTGAATACTGATTGATCGTAACATAATGTTGAACTGTTCAAGGAGGCATGGGTGGCATTACAGGGTCTCCGTTTGTCATTAAGGTTCTATGCATAAAAGTATCTGAAATTCAAGCACCATTTCAGTTGTTATTAATCAATGTGAGAGAGTTGGTTTTACGGCATTTTAACGGTATCTCATTCCAAACTAGTATTAATTCAATGGGTGAGTGAGTGAGTTTAGTTTTACGCTGAATGAGCATCGATCTGCGCGTGGGGAACCGATGACCTGCGTCAACCAAGTCAGCAAGCCTGACCACCCGATCCCGTTAGTCGCTTCTTACGACAAGCATGTGTTACTGAAGATCAATATTCTAACCCGGATCTTCACGGGTAAATTCAATGGGAAGGCCTGCAACTACACAGTTGTGAACAGTGGAACATGCAGTTGCAACTTTAGTCTTCATATCAAGCATTACACAATAGTGTCACTACATGAGAAGATATCCCGATCCCAGGAGGATTCCAAATCAAAGCCGTTTGATCAAAATACGACCACTGTCTCTCCCAAAGTCTTTGTAACCTCAGAATGCATGCAATCAAAGAAATCAAATTAATATAGCTTTGTTTTGTATGTCTAGGTATCCAGTTGTTCGTCTAAAATAACCACACGTTTATGACTTGTTATCTACCAGGTGTATTGGGTAAATAAAATATTCATGCATAATCATAAAAACTTAAGCTAAAAAGGGACCACTTCGACCATTACGCATGCGCGCGCGCGTTATTTGAGCAGATGAAAATAAAATTTGTTTTGCTTTATCACACCTTATCTGTTAACAAGACACATTCAAATGAGCACACGGTAACTTCATACTAATAATTGTTTTATGGCTGAAAGAATACACGCAGCTCTTTTAACCTGTGTTCTCTCACTTAAGCATTTCTATCAAATTCTAACCCCACCATCATTTAACTGGGCACTACATTGTCAGTTTAAAAGATATTGGGTTAATTCATTTTGCCTTTATTGGGGGAAATCTTGTAGATTATGAATTTGTCCTTATCTCAATACCGACCATGTGGTCCCTTTACCGGTAGCCTTCCCCATTTGGTCAAAAGACTAAATGTATTAGTCATTTGGTCAAATGACTAAAAGAGATAGAGATCTAGTTAGACTGACTGCCTGAACAGTTTTAGTCAATCCATCAAATGCAATGTTTTTGTTTTGAATGTTGTCTCAACAAAGTGGTTTTCACAGAAAACACATGATGCACATGGTTTCTCTTAAAGAAACACTCTGTAGTAATCAAAGAAAGTATCGACAAAGGGGTGGTTAACACATACTGATTGGTCGGTGCACATGATCGTTTCAGTCATTTGACCAAATATATATATGTTAGAGTCAATGTCTACAATCAGGCAATGTGTACAATGACTGAAATAACCAGTCAATGTGTACATAGCCTGATTCACTCAGTCATTGTGTACATTGTCTAAAATTTCCAGGCATTGTGTACATTGCCTGATTAATTAACCCAACTATTGTACATATTGACTGATTGTTGAACAGGGATTATTGAGAAGACAAGGTTAGCATGGGTTTCCTTCGGTTTGAATGAATAAGTGGCGAATATCTAACAAATTCATTAATTGAAGCATATCTTTCACATCACAGTTAAGTCGCTCCACTGATCCCTGGGTCTGTGGATGTCTGGGTTTGCCATGCAACATCACCAAGTCGGACCACATGATCCTACTAGTGGCACGTCATGCGATCCTACTTGTGGACAATGCTGCCAGTCACAAGTAAGCCACTGTCAAACTGACCAATGTTAAAGCCCATTTCCTGCCTACTAGTTTTTGTCTCTATCAGTCAAGTGAAAGAGAAGTAACGCTACTGCAGTGTGGAGTACCAAACGTTTCATTATCCAAACATATTTTATGAAAAACGGCACTATTGGGATTAACGCGGCCTGACTGTATACTCTTGACCCAATAAAACAAGAGCATGAAGATGTAATACTACAACTCCTAGAGCACATTCTACTGCCATCTCCTCAGTGGGCACTGGCTATACAACTGATTAGTGAAAGGGGCAAAGGGAGTAAATGTGTGCTACAGTTCAGTCACCGAGATCAGCACATGAACAACTGCATGCAAGACACAGTGTGCAGAACATGATATACAGTATATTGCACTTAATACACTTTATTCTGCATATATACTACACACCAAAAGTTTAGACTCACCAGTGTAAATGTAGCTACTTACTTTAGTCAACTGTTCTAAACTAGATTTTGCAAAATATTCCATACTTTCTGAAGGTACTGTTTACACATGAACTGACGTATAGTAAAACAAATTTTTAACGTTGAAAAGATTATTGTCATGAGTTCAATAAATGGTGAAACTCAGTGAAAATTGGCAAATTCTTAACAAAACTCAACGTCAAAACGCAGCTGTTCACATGCATGATGTTTGCACATGTTTTTCAGCAATTTGACGCATGATTCTCTTGCAACCCATCTGCATAAGGTTTGCTGACGCACGTTGACTGGGGTAAGGAGCTAAATGTTCTCTAATAGTCTGTAGTCACGTTGATGGCCATCAGTTGTGAATACGCAGAACCTGCTCCCATCCGAAAAGAGGACACGTGACCAGTCTCGGACTTGCCAACGTCGAAGTTGTCTTGCCCACTGGAGCCTGTTACGCCGGTGTTGTGTCAGTACCACCCAGTGGCATGGACGTTGTGCTCGAATACCACGTTCACGCAGTCGTCGTGATACTGTCTGTTGACTGATACGATGTCCAAGTGCCGTTGTTGCCATTGCTGTTGCCTTGATGAAGCGGTTCCTGAGGTGGATTACCCGGATGTTGGGTCCTCCTGGGCGTGGTCACCCACGGTCTCCCACTTCTTGGCCTGTCTACTGTCTGCCCTGTCTGGCCGAGATGCTGAAACAACCTAGTGATGCATACCCAGGTGCAGCCAAGGTTCTCTCGATGAGGGCATGTGACCCTCCTTGTTGGGACATTCTTACGACTCTCTGTGTACTGCGGTCAGCCGTGGCATTTTTCTTGTCTGCTTTTTTATTCTGTTACAATGCCTTGTGTCATGAGCTGCGTTTATACGGTTTTTATGCATGTGCATTTTGTAATGAGTTGCCATTACCTTGTCACATGTTTCTGTAAATTTTCCTGGATCTAGGTTCAAAATTAAAGTTTTAAACCACAAAAATATTTGGTATACCTTCTTTTGGATGGTAGTATACATAACACATAGTGAGTTCTTTAAGTGAGTCTAAACTTTTGATGGGTAGCGTAATATCAGATTCAACTTAAACTCTGACACCTCTTGTTACGAAATGGCACAACAAATTTTGTCCTGGCCATTTGTGTGTAATACAAGAACAAATACTGACTCAAGAAAGTCTTGCCAAATTGTTGCAAAATTTTAGCAAGTCCTCTGAAAAAAATGGGATCTGGATTCTATGGCCAGTTCACACAGAATCAATGATTTTCATGAATAAATTTAGTTCTGATCTATCTGCATCATCTGTAAGGTTCCATCAAACAGTAATTGCAACAGAAAATATGTTTTAACACGGATTGTCACTATGGTGACATAATCTCCGCCGCAAAATATCAAATCAAACTTTAAAAGTAATGAAAGAGTAAGATGAAGTTAAATGTCAACAAGTCAACCTCTTTTGATATCTTGCTCATTAGTTGTTCAAACACACAAATATGTTCAAGACTGACTTTGACCTTGACATGAATGTCATAGTGTATGAAATATGCAAAAATGGTTCTAAAGAAATTGCTTATTGAAAAACATTCAAGGGAAGTCTTGAAAGTCTATGAAGAAAATCCAGTGAATTCAGGTTAACATGCAGTGACCTTGAAAATAAAGTGAAGGTCACCAAAATCGACTGGTCCCTGTGCCTTCCCTAGATAAAGCTTGGTGTCAAATATGAAGAAAATCCAGTGAATGGTTCTTGAGGTATCTCGCTGACAAGAGTAAAACGTTAAAGTCCCCTTGTGACCTTGAAATGAAGGTCAAGGTCACCAAACCTGACTGGGACCTTTCTTATACTGTGATGAACCTAGGTACAGAATGAACAGAATCTAGTCAATGGTTCTTAAGATATTCCAATTCGTATGTACGGATGGACGGAGCCTAATACTATATCCCCCGCTTCACGCTAAACGCGCGGCGGGGGATAAAAACACAGCAGACATTCAGGCATCAATGTATGTTCACTTATATTCATGTTGTAGGCCATGTTAATAAAAGCTTCTAATTTCAAATCCCATCTCAGTGAAAATACTATTTATTTCCTTAGAACGGTTGATTTGGGTTAAATATTGCAATATCCTATGAACTCTTTCAGAGATGATTATCTTCCTTGATATTCATTCAGTCATATTCAGTAAATACCTTGATCCCACTCTTCTGGCGGCCTTGCTGGAACTGGTGGTAGAGGACGACGACTGGATCCACTTTGTCGGCGTTGCATGTTTGGGGGACTTGGCGCTGGTACATCAGGAGGGTCATCAAACTCACTCTGTCACACAGAAGACAATATATATGCCTCATTACATTAAGCTTTCCTGTTATTTTACCGTTTGTTCCTAATTTGTAGCAACAATTTCATATGGGGCTGTCATGTTAGTATGAGAACAGCATTTTTCTAACATGCAAAGGGGAAAAAATGGAACTGTCTGAATGTTCTGCAATAATGACAAGGAGATCTCAAACTCTCATATATACAAAAAGCATCACTACACATACAATCTCAGAGACAAACTCAGCTAAAACTGCCTGACATATGACAGAAACATCTTTTCAAATATGCACAAGTGTTTATAATGACGAATTTGTTAGAATTACCCCCGAACCGGCCCCTGATATTTAACCCGAACCAGCCCCTCATATTTGACCCAAACCGGCCCCGAGAAGTAAATATTTCTGCATTGACATATGAATTAAAGTTCCTTTAACATAAATGACAAAAACATATTACTCATATGTCTTTACATGTAATATCGATTTTTGAAAATATATTAGCGTATATTAGAAACGATGAGAGGCAAGTGAACATGCAAGTGCTGCTGATCACGGAGATCCCGTGGTAGAGGACATTTTATGTAATTCTTTTAAGAATCTAAATCTTCATGTCTGTATATATATAATAAATTAATTGAAATCTTCATGTCTGTATATATATAATAAATTAATTGAAATCTTCATGTCTGTCTGATTAATTGTCTGTCTGATAACCGTTAATTAACCCAGGGGCCGGTTCGGGTGCAGGGCCGGTTTGGGTTAAATATCCAGGGGCCGGTTTGGGTTAAATATCCAGGGGCCGGTTCGGCTTGGGGCCGGTTCGGGTGTATCCCGTTTGTTACACACTTTATATACAACTAACTGAAAATCCTTCCTCACATAACGTCAATCTGGTTCGCTGCAGTGCTCTAGCGACAGAGTTACGTAACCTCTCTGTGTTGGCGGGTGAGAGTGAAGCAGACAGCTTTTTGGCAACTTTTAATCACTTGGTATAAATTAACCACAAGTTTCTTAAGAACGAATTTGGTGTTCCGCTTATGACTAACACGTCTTTCATATGTAATGGTTAAACGAGTACAAAAGCAAAAGTTTATTTGTTCTTTAAAGGAATAAAGAAATGGAAAATCTAAACACAAAAAGAAAAACTGAAGTTTATTCATAGAACTAAAGTTTGAAAAATCTTCTCATTTTGTTGTGTTGATAATTATGGTGAAATGACGTTGAAAGCTAAAAACTCTGTCAACTGCAACAACCCTCTGCATTAACTGTATCACACATTTATTGTGTTCCATTCCTGATTTAGGGCTGATGAACAAAATCATCAATGGCATGTGCAAAGTGTGGCCTGGCATTGTCGTCCATGGAGGTTGGCCTCAAGTTCAGAAGATGGTCATTGAAATATAGTACAATAACCCTGAAAGGGATGTCAGTGATGTACCAGTGTCCATTCATATTTTGTCTGATCATTGCAAAGTCCATTCTCTTCCCACAGAGGTTACTCCTGTCATATCTTCCTACGTAACCTCTGTTCTAATACGGCCCTTTCATGGTGTGAGCGTTCAAGACTCGTGATTGGAGGCAATCAGATTTAGTTGTGCAATCAGCGAAGTTGTTTCAAAAGTGATCATTCGCAAGGCCTCGGTAATTTCCGTATGCTTCGAGAAAAACTAAATTTCTTCCCCTGCGCGATGCGCAAACGTTTCTTCTAGACAGAACTCAGTCATGTTAGGGCGGATCAGTGGCGTCTCCATCGCCCTCGTTGACAACGGACAAGCTAGCCATTAAACGTCTTGTGTGTAACATAAACACAATTCCCCGGCAGATGGGGGATATTTGTGGCCCCACATTTGCTTGTGTTAGTCAAGTTGAATCTAAGTCGATGTAACACGTGTTCTGATTGGATAGAAAGAAGGGAGATAATTCGTGTTGCGATCTTTTGCCGCTAGGGGATTTTACGAGAACCGGGAAATATGGCCGTATTAGAACAGAGGTTCGTAGGAAGATATGACAAGTAATCTCTGTGGGAAGAGAATGTGCAAAGTCAAGCTTACACTCATGTGAGAGGCACTGTTACGACGTAAATTGTAATAAAAACGCAAATTGTAATACTTGCAGCAAATTGTAATAAATTTGACGTAAATTGTAATAAAAATTGACGTAAATTGTAATATGCAAATTGTAATAACAACTGGCGTAAATTGTAATAATTTTAGTTGCGGTAAAATGTAATAAATATCTACATAAATTGTAAAAACAGTTTTAATCACTGACGTATATACGCGTGTGTTTGTTTTTCGTTGCATTTCATACATCATATATGCTTGTTAGGACGATAACTCAAGAAAGAAATGATGGATTTTGTTCACATTTGGTACCAAGGTGTACTGGCGAGATTCACTGATACCAGTTATATTGAGTGACCTTGAGATAATTTGCAAGGTCACAGCAAAAATCTGAGGGTTTTGCCAATATAAATGAGTGAGTGAGTTTAGTTTTACGTCGCACTCCGCAATATTCTAGCTATATGGTGGTGGTCTGTAAATAATCGAGTCTGGACCATACAATCCAGTGATCAACAGCATGAGAATCTATCTGCGCAACTGGGAACCGATGACATGTGTCAACCAAGTCAGCGAGCCTGACCACCCGATCCCATTAGTCGCCGCTTACGACAAGCATAGTCGCCTTTTGTGGCAAGCATGGGTTGCTGAAGACCTAATCTATCCCGGATGGGGTGGGTGTGTGTGTGTGTGTGTGTGTGTGTGTGTGTTGGGGTTGGGGTTGGGGGAAAGAGAGGTTCTAACAGGTATATCTAACACGCTTAAATGCATGTAGAGTCGGAGGGGGCGGGTGTTTTAACGGGTATATCTAGGACGTTCAAAAAGTAGTCAGCCTCACCTAGTATATGATACAAATGCAGCTGTTTTTATGTTTTATTTTTCTACATATTATCTGTCGGCCTTAAGCAAATTCGTTAGAATCAAGCTTAGATATTAAACTGCACAAAAAAGCAATTTGAAACTACAATCTCTTGTTCAAGTGACTCCTCCTTCATGTTTACTGAAAGAGCTTGTTTTGGAGACACTACCCACCCCGTTTCAGTTGACGTCATCGTAAGGACATAACTTATCCTAATGTTTTCACTTATTCATACATGATGTCAAGGGTTCAAACTAAATACTGACTGGTCACACAAGTGTCAGCTCTCAATATATTGTATATCTGGACACAATGTTTGTGAAAAATTAAAATGTTGGTGTCCTTGAAAGCAGTCCCCGTCTAAACATAAATCAAGCAACCCAAATCTTTGAATGTTGATGATGACGGGAAGTCATCCAATACTATACTGAACATATTTTATATGATATTATCTTAGGGCATACCATTATCCAAGAGGTAGCACAATAGTGCAGTGGTAGGCGTTCCCGGTGGAGGCATCTAGGTTCGGGTCCCGAGGTGCGCACATTTGCGTAGTATCATTTGACAAAACACTTAGATAGACATTGTCTCAGTTCACCAAGCTGTAAAATGGGTACCCGTGAGGATGTGCTGGCAATGTGAGAGTTTAGTTCATTACGCCTAACAGGCAGTATCGGAAAGTATACTATGATCGGGGATAGTAATGTACGTAGCGCCGTGAGCAGGCAAAGTGCCGGGATATGAGCGTCATATAAGCGGACTATTACTATTACTAGGTACCAAATGGCAGATCGTTTTCCATTTTCTGCAAATTTGTAAGAAACATTATACCCCAACATGAAATTTTCGATATGACTTTGCTAATGATTCCTTAAAAAAAATGGAAGCTTTTCAAACATTAGACATCACGTATATAGTTAGGCTGACTACTTTTTCAACGCCCCTCGTAACATACTTTAAAAGAAAAGAGAACGTCTAAGGAAAAATGCATTTCGGTCTCTGAATTCTTCTGAGCTACTTGAATACAAAAAGCAAAGGAATAAAGTAAATAATCTGAAAAGAATAGCCGAGGAAAAAGTTTAACCTAATTTTGATAACCATTTATCACCTCAGTCTACTCAAGCAGGCGGTGACTGGATGATCTTTAATTTTTTGTTGAAAGGAACTACTTCATCAGGACCCATTCCCCCTCTTGTGACTGATGATTCTGGGATACCTTCAGCTTTTACAAATTTGGATCAAGCTCAAACATTAAATGAATATCGTGTATCTGTTTCATATCTTAATGATGGTGGCAAGACATGGCCACTTGTTAGCCATCACTGTGTTAACAGTATAACAAATGTCATTGTAACCGAAAAGGAGGTATCTGATATGATTCAGACCTTACCAGCAAACAGATCTAGGGGACCTGGTGGCATTAACATGAGAGTGTTAAAACTAATTTGTACATCTGTAGCTGAACCTCTTTGTTTGTTGTATAATATATCACTGAGTGACTGTATTTCCTACAATGTGGAAATGGGTAATGTTACTCCTACTTTGAAAAAGGAGATACATCCCTCACAACTTATTACAGACCTATTAGTTTATTATCTATCCTTGGGGAAATCCTCAAAAGAATAATGGTAAAGCATGTGCATGACCATTTCCATGAACAAAGCATTTTAATAAATTCCAGTCAGGTTTTACTGCTAGTCATTCTACTTCATTTCAACACATAGACATTTATCATAATATATGCTCAGTCCTAGATAATCACCACCTTTCAAAAGCTTTTTACAGAGCTTGGCATAAAGGTTTATGGCACAAATTAGAAAATTATGCTGTTCGTGGAAACGTACTTCCTTGGTTAACTAACTATATATCTCAGTGTCTCTGTTAATCTAACATTATCAAAAGAAACTAAATGTGTGTTCGTGGAAACGTTCTTAGTTGGTTAACTTTATCTATCTGATAGACGACAGTGTGTCTCTGTTAATCTAACATTATCAAAAAAACTAAACGTTACTGCAGCGGTTCCTCAAGAGTCTGTCCTTAGTTAATTTGTGTTCCTTGTATATATCAATAATTTACCTG